TGTGTTGCTTTAGTAAATTAAAGGAATCAGAAGCAAAAAATAGGGAACTGTTGGAAGAGATGGAAGGTTTGAAGAAAAAACTGGAAGAAAAATACAGAACAGATTCAGGTAATTAAAGTTACTGTGTTTTAACAGAGTTCTAACACTACCTGCAATGTTGTCTTTTAGCTAAGCCTGTTCTGCTTTGGGTTTTAGGTCTTAAACTTCCAGACTTTCAAGATTCCATTTTTGAATATTTCAACACCTCTCCTCTTGCACGTGATCTGACTTTCAGAGTGAGTTATTACATAAAGTAACTATAAAAATGTGATGGCTGAATTATATTTTTATTATGTAAAAGTAATGCTTGTACCCTATATGCCACATTTGGATCTGGCGTATTAGCCAAATTAGTGTGATGCAGAATTGGATGTCCAGTAGATGTCAGATTGCTTGGCATTTTGTAGGGAAGCTGGCACCTTTGGGAAATATTCCCAGAAGTTCACATTAGCTATTTCCCATTCTAGCTTCTTTGTTTAGGTTAATCTCAAACATTTGGCTGAATAATATATATTCAGGGGTTTTTGGAAAGACTGGTGCATCCTGTTACAAATAAGGGATTAAATGCTTTACAGTTGGAAGATGCTGATTACTACAAGGAAAAGTATTCATACAGTTCAAGGAGTGTTTAAACAGATATGTAAAATTGCTGGCTCCAGATCTTAATGGAGTGGTTAAGAGTAGAAGGAACTGGAAGGAGAATCAGAGGACCCACAGATGTTGGTGTAATAAGTTTATTGTGACACACCCTCTGATCCTTAGAAAACTAATCATACAAATCACAGCTCCAAGTGGGCGTTTCAGTTAAAAAGGTTTGTGCATTCCCTGAGGAAGCAGCTGTTATATGCAACATTGAATCACATTTCCTTACTTCATGAACTCTTGATCTGTGAATATTTTCTGGGATGTTTTTTTGCAAAACACATAGTTTAGGATAAAACCAAGAGCTGGAACTGGAAAGAATAATCTGGTATGTTTATGGAGCTGAGCTAAAGGGGCTCAGGTTAAAACCTCATCAGTCTGGTTAGATTTTGTATCTGAAATGTATATGCTACTTCTTCCCCCCCGACCTTGGTATTTTAAAACATTGCTTTAAAAAGTACCAGATATACTTAAAACAGCAACATGTAGAATATCAAACCCACAACTAATCAAGATACCATTCTACAGATCCTGCAATAGATATATAGTCGCTGTGGAAATGCAGGTGGCATTTTCTGATTAATGACATTAAAATTGCTGATACTGTGCTTAATGACTTCCATTAACAATTTTTTTTATGTGTACTTAAAGATAGTCCATGTCATCTGCTCTGGGTTAATTTATTTTGAATAAATATCATTTGGCCATATAAAACATTTTATTTAGCTAGCCTACTAATATTCTATCTGAAGTTTTCCTGTGGGTGATAAGTGATCGTTTTTATCCCTCATATCTGTTACAACAAAGGATTCTGTTTCTTCTTCGTCTACATCTTCTCTGCTAGCCTTTTGGGAAGAAGTAAGTTTTTGCTAGTAGTTTTGTCTCCTTATTTTGTTGTGAACTGTCATAGTAAAAATGGCCTTCTAAAACTAGATATTTTGCTTCCTTAACTTCTCTATGACTTAATCCACTAAATAGAGCTAGTTTAGTTTTCTTTTAATACCTCTTTACAGGCTTACTATTTTATATTTTGACTATCTGTATGGCTAAAGCTGAATTACACTTAGCATTTTTAAATAGTTCATATTACATAATGGTGCAATTTGATCTTTAATGGCCCAGCCCTACCAATCAATTCATAACAAAAAAAATAACATATCTGAACATATTTAGTGAGCTAACTGAACTTGAGCCATCTTCCTGTCTAAACTGGCTGGGAAGTGAGTGATTCATTACTTGTTGCCTTTAGTGCTAATTACATCATTGATGTGAAGTCTAATCTGATGTTTGTTAATCATGATTTTCATGATGTCCTCAGAGTACAGTAATACGGCATCCTACTTCCACACCCAGCTTCTTTAGCTCTGGAATTGTAGCATACTTCCCCCTTGTGCTGGCAATTAGTAGTTGCTAATGTGAGTGTGAAATTAATAGAAGGTTTGTAATGGATGCTAGTCTTAAATTTTAGTGAAATAGAAGACAATGTGATTAAGTAGACATGATTCTTTTAATGACAGAGGCCAACAACTTTTAAACAACTTTTTAAAAGATTGTGTAGTACCACTTTAAGAACTTTCCTTGTGGCAGAATTGCTGGCTGCTGTGTGCTAGAAAAATCTTAGTGTAGTAAGCTACCATGAGAAATAAGCTATTTTATGGATGATTGCCAAACTTCTCAAACATCATTCCATACCTGCATGGAAGAGATTAGACACAGCCTTGCTGGGAGAAGGCTGTTACAGCACTTACGCTGCCTACTGTGAGGTTTTGCATTTCAGTACTTACAGCTTTACAGCTTTTCCGTCAGGTGGCAGGGTTTGTTTTGAGAAAAGGACTTTTTCAGAGTGGCAAGTTGTTAGATGTATGCGTACTGCGTATAGAAAGCAGTATTGGATTTTGTTTCCATTTTGTTGACATGAGAAAACTTCTTCAGATCTGTGGTATCGAATCTAACGTGTTTGCTGTCGCTTTTGCAGACCAGTTCTATTAGTGAGCAGGAAACGCAAGGCCCCAAGTCAGAAGTTTCACCATCTACTTCAGTTGTAACTGCAGAGCAACAACAAGAAGTAAGAGCGCCGTTATTTTACCCTGAAGAGTAATTCACTAGAAAGTCTCTCTGTCTTGTTCATGATAAATACATATTGCAGCATTCATTATGAAGAAGCAGGATTGAATGTTGCTTATTTGCAATGTGTCAGTGTTAATTGCACCTGCTTTGAGGACAGTTGCAAATGAAACCTTTTTGCTGGCTCTGTCTATGTTGATGTACCTCATTTTCATATGTTTTCTGTATTGCTGCTTGTTTGTTAGTGTGCAGGCTTTCCTGTGAGTGCTTTAAAACACAACCTGTTTCTATTGAATCAGAATGGCGATGTTTATGACCATTAAATTTTTCATAATTTTCAAAAAAGAAAAAAAAAATCAGACATTATCTTTGCCACCCCAATCTTGAAACAAATTCTTGAAGCCTCATTTTGCTCAATTACAGTTTTTTGTGATTCAGGAACCAATTCGGCTTCAGAGGATGCCTGCTGCTCCTTCCCCCACCATTCAATCCATTTCTCTAGCTGTACCAAAGGTAGGGGGACTGTGCTAACCTTATGCTAAAGAACAAAGGAAAAAATATCATTTATAAATTAGCCCTCCATGTTTGTTCTTGTCCTGTTTGGGTTTGTCATGTGTGTGTTTGTTAGGTCTGTGTTGTTAATCAAATGTTTCCAAATGCAAGCTGATGGGTTTTGATTTGTCAGAAGGGATGATAAAAAATAGTTGGTTGTCGGTTTGGGTTTGAGTGTCTTATGCAGTTGGAAATAAAACTGTTATTGTTGTCTTGCAGCACCTTAACAAGCTGCACTTACTTAAAAGAAGCCAAGGTTTCATAATGTACACTCTGATATACTGGAGGGTGGTGAAGGGAGATGCTTGCATTACATAAATATTGAAAGTGAAAAGTGTTTGGGTTTGGTTTTTTTTTTTTTTTTTTTCCTGAATGTATCTTTCAGCCTAAAGCTCACCAGCTCAATATCAAGTCATTTACAAGCCCTACTCAGTGTAGTCATTGCACCTCTCTTATGGTGGGATTAGTTCGACAAGGTTATGCCTGTGACGGTGAGTCAGTTAAACTTTATATATTTTCAGCAAGTCCCTGAAAAAATCATCCCAAAACACTAATGTGTTTTAAGGCAACCATTTCTTTGGGGAGGGAATGAGAGGGGTGGCTGCCACTGAATGGTTCTCCTTCCTTTTGCATCATCATCAGACTTCTAAAGTCAAAGAATTAATATAAGCCTTTATGGTTCCCTTTCATATCACTAATTAATTCTGCTACGATTAGTGCTGTTATAGCGTGAGTTGGGGGGGGGTGGGGTGGGTGCAGAAAGCAGGAGTGTTTTCTCTTTCTGTAGTGGAGAAGACTGCAGGAAGGCTCTGGTAACATGAATCTGAGTCTGTCTATTTTGTGCTATCCGATCGTAAACCCCGTATGTTGGGAGGACCATTTGCTAGGTTTTTTGACCTGTAGCCTGTCTTGCTGTCCATTAGTTTTATTTAAAATGCTGTCTCTGGTGCATGTGTCACTATTGAATTCCATGTTTGAGTGTATGGAGGTATTTTTATTTGAAAAGACTTATCTGTGTCTTGATTAGACACATGAACTCAGTAAGTAGTCCACAAATCTGTTGAAGACACTACAATATAAATAACCATATCGTATTTCTGTGCCCAGCTTAGTTCTTGCTGGTGACACCCTCTCCACTGACACGTTCATATTCAGACTGCCTCATCTGCCCTTCAGGGCTTTTTTCCTGGCAGATCTTCTGGTGGTGGTTCTTCCGCAGGAGCACCTATTGCTCTGCCAGCACTTGCCCTGGGGCTGCCTTTTGTCTCCTGCTGCTGACAGTTCTGAACTCTTGTTTTGCATCTCTTCCTGCAAGTTTCAAATGGTCTTATTCCCTTAGCGTAGCTATCAACTTCACTCTTTTTTTTCTCATGTATTTTGATTAAGATCTGCATCATTAGTTTTCCAGTTTGCCTCTCCTGCTCCAGATCTTGATAGCTACAGAAAAAACTAGAATCACATTGACATAAGAATAGAGATGACTCCATCTCCACGTAGAACAAAACTTTGCCATGTTCCACTCCCAATCACTTGCTTTTCCCAGTTCCTCCTCTCTTTAATGCTGGAGACTACGGTAAAATACAGCTGCACCTCCAGAGGCATGTGGAACCAGCTATATCCTGTGGATTTTCCCTATTCTGCAACCAGTGTACCTTGATATGCACAGTCCCAAATAATTATGGTGCCTCCTGAAAGAGCTGAATTTATTATCTGGTCTTGGGGAGCATCTACAATGCTTTGCATGCATGGCTCTTTGGTAATCCCCGTTCTCCTGGGAGCAGACTGTAGCTCGAAGAACAAGCCAGGCAGCTTGCTCTGGGCTGCCCTCTCTCCTGGCTGTTCCCTCAGGCATCGTGAGGAGGGGTTTGTAGCCCAGTCTGTGACTCTAGTAGAAGCAGGCTGTTTCCACGTTTTCTGAAATCTTTTGACCCTTCGTAATGACAGGACTAGATGTGCACAGGGTATCTGCCATATGCCCACTTCTGAGAATATGGTTAGGAGGAAGCACAGGATAGATCACAGTGCCGTGCCACTCTCCCACTGACTTCCCAAGCCCACTGGTAGAAACAGGGTGGCTGGGACAAACCAGGCAAAATCTCTGTGGAAAGGTCTGGCCCATAAACTGTGGGTCAGATGCCTTGATATAACATGTTAATTCATTCTGCAGTTCTTGTAGTCTGTCTCATGTGAAGAGGCATATATTCTGAGTTTTTTCTGTGTATTGCTTCTGTGTGAAGTGCTCTTAGAGTTGTATATAGACGAGACCTCTGTCCCTTGCCAGTGCAGCACAAAGTGATGTAAATCGTAATAAAGGATGCAACAATTCGTATAGATGTTTGCTCCTTATTTGAACTCTGATATATATATCAGAAAAAAAAAGCATGCCCCTTTCACCACACAGTATTTCGGTTCTTGTTCCCTCGTTTCTACTTTATTGTGCTTTTTTAAGTCTATTGCTTGTGTTTAGTAGTTTAACCTGTTCTATTTTTTTGGTCAGTTTAGTTTTGCTTTGTCTTTGCAGTATTCTTGTATACTTGGATCGAATTAAACACCTACTATATTTATCTTGTCTCCTACCACTGCCACGTAATTTTTATTCCTCCTTTATTAATACTTTTTCTCTTCTGTGACTGGGTTAGTTGCTACTTAACACCAGTGAGGCTGACCAACTCCTTTTCCTTCTGGAAAATGCTTTCATAAGTTGCCTTGAAATATGGACTCACTTCCTGCCCTTTATGGAAGCAATAAGCTTAAAAGAGAAAATAAAAGCACTTTGGAGAGTCTCATACAGTATCTAGGTGTGTTCATTCCTTTAGCGTAGTGGGCTATTGCAATATTTGACTGCCAATTTCAGTGTGATTAATTTGCTGAGCATAAGGGTAGACTACATTAATCTCCTGTTATGATTGATTCATACATGCATTTCACTGTGAATTTTCTCTTTTGTACTTAGTGTGTTCATTTGCATGCCATGTTTCCTGCAAGGATAGCGCACCTCAGGTCTGCCCTATACCCCCTGAGCAAGCCAAAAGGCCTCTTGGAGTGGATGTGCAAAGAGGAATAGGAACTGCCTATAAAGGTTATGTCAAGGTAATAGTCTTTTGTTCTTGGACAAGAGAAGAATACTAAACACTTACAGCTATGCAGCTTGGAGTATGTTTAAACAGATCTCCTAAATTGGGCTAAAGCCTTAAGGCTTTGTGTGCTAGCTATGTAACTTATTTAACCTTTGTTGCTTTAGATGTGGGAGAAACAGTCGGTTTTATTACAAGAGCTAAAGGTTAGTAGATTAGTAGCTACAATGTTCATAAGTAGCGGGGGGGAGGGAGGAAAGCATACTTTAAGGAAGAATTTCTGTCATTGTTGATGTAAGCATAATATAAAAGGTGAACTGTCCTACCATTTTGGCATTTGTGGAACGTACAAGCCCCGCTGTTTGTCCTAATACTACATAATATATTTATTAAACTGTAGCAGGGAATGGTTGAACTTAAGGGAGGAAAAATGATTGCTTGATTACTTGACATTTTTCACTACGTTTTGAAGGGCAAGTAGATCGTGTTCTAATTCCGTTGATCTAAGTATAAGCTTTTCTAAATGTCCCTGCTTTCTGTGCCTACTACATGTGCTTACATTTAATAAGCAATCAGTTATTTATACGCAGGTCCCAAAGCCTACAGGAGTTAAGAAAGGGTGGCAGAGGGCTTATGCAGTTGTCTGTGACTGTAAACTGTTCTTATATGACGTGCCTGAAGGAAAATCCACCCAGCCTGGAGTTGCTGCAAGTCAAGTCTTGGATCTCAGGTTTGTATCATTATGACAGAGTAGAAATCCTCTATATTTTTTCCCTAACAGGAATATTTATTTATAGTGCATAAGAAACTTGTAGGTCATGAGAGCTCTGGTCTGAGAATACCTGTGCGTTCTGAATATAGACTGCAGCTAAGTTCAGGCTGAACAAAGTGCCTCAACAAGAAGTCACTTAAGTGACTTTATAGTCACTTATACTACAATCACTAATATTTACAGCATTAGCATGCTTCTTCCTAGAATTCCACATGCACACATGGAAAACAAATAGACTTTGGCATATTGGGTTTTCCCCTGCACTCTGACCTCAAGAGTGAGTCATAGATCATCCCATAGCCAGTAATTCCAGGAACATTAGAAAAACTGAAGTAGTCTTCAGAAAAGCACCAACTAATTTACAGTGTAAGTGGCTCTGACCCTGCCTTCTCACAGGAGTAATTTCTTCATGGTGAACCATTTGAACCACTGAACACTGTCTACAAAAGGTCTGAGACTTTCATTGATCAGAGTAACAAAGAAGTTGTTTTATTTCAATTTATGGAAATATCAAGAAAGTGTAATACCTTTTAATGTTACAGCACCTTCTATCTCTGTTGAATATAAAGTTTGCATTCACAAGCACCTTGATTTATATTTTTTTCTAGACAGGAGTACCATGGGGTTGCACCAGTACTGCTGTTCTGTTCTCACATTTATTCTCTGAGAATTGTCAGTGTCATCTCCCTCTGACATGCTGGCAGCAGGGGCAGAAGTGTGGATGTATTGCAAATAACAGTATTCACATCAGTACATTGCTTGAAGCAACTCAGCCAGATACTATACCAACTGTCCCATGCTTTATCTGCTTATTGTAGCTGCCTCTTTGAGTCTGGCTTTTGAGGATTCTTAGATGTTTTAATAGACGTTAACCACCACAGCTATGAATTCTAGCATGGGCAAGTTTCAGGCATTAGTGTCATCTTTACACTAAAATTGGCAATTATGGTGATCGACTTGGTCAAATTCAGTTTCAAAAGGCTTATGTAGACAAGCCCTCTGGGGTGGAGCGCTCTGAAATGCAGAAGTTGTTCTGATGTCTGTTTATTTTACTGTAATAGACAATAAAATCTAGCTGTTTTGAAAACCCTTATTTGAATCCCACAAACTATAATTATGTTGCCAAGAGCTTTTTATGTGATTTTTCTTCTTTTCCAAAGGCCCCTCTCTTGCTACACATTGAGGTATGAATTATTCATTTCTAATGTGTCTGCTGGGCTGGAAAAGCAATATTCTTGCTGCTAATTGTAGAATAGGTGTGGTCGGTAAACCAAAACTACACAAAGCCACCCCACTTAACTTCAGGTGGACTGAGTTACATGTACTGAATGCTGTAGAAACATAACTAAATTTTGTGAGTTGTTTGAGTCAAGGATGGTTAGAGCATAACAAAGCAGTGATGGCAGTTGTGACCTCTGTGCAGTGTTAGGAGACTGCAGCCTATTGAAACAGTTGTGATGTCAGTAAGATTTTGCTGAATAATGTTAGTGTGTGCATGTATGTGATCCTCTTGCTCTTTTTCTTACTAGAGATGAAGATTTTTGCGTGAGTTCTGTCCTAGCATCGGATGTAATACACGCAACTCGTAAAGACATCCCTTGCATATTCAGGGTATGGCTACCAATTTACTCTTAAGGAAAATACAAGCTAAATACCAGTGTTTTGTTTTGATATTGAAGTATGTTATCCATATTTAATGTTTGTTAAGTTATGCAGAAACATAAGAATTTACAAGGTGTGCTGAAATGTGTAGAACAACAGTATGATACTCCTCTTACAACTGAATTGTAAAGAACAAAGTTCTCCTTCTTTTACTGCTGCTTTGTATACAGAGTTTGGCTTTTTTTTTCCTTGATTATAATTCAGTATATTTTCGTCTCCTCTTCCATTGGTATTACCAGATCCTGGTTTTTCTTTCTTAGCTTTGGAGGACACTTGCTTTAGGAACTGATGCTGTAACAGAGTAGGCTGCAGCTGCGTTGTGCTCACTGATTCTAGTTTGCCATGTATTGTCTTGTAAAAAAAAAAAAAAATACATGTGAAATTTCAGTTTCCTTAATTTTATATTTAAGTATAGTAGAAAAAATTTAAAATAAGAGAAAATAATTAGCTTAGTTGTAATATCCTCTTTGATATATGCTCTATCTGAATGCTGTATTTAGTTTTTAACAACAGGAACTTCTTTCATAGGTTTTACATGAATTGTATTTAATCTGTAGAGAAGAGTACGTTAGTAGCCAATATCTGTAATCCCTTGCATTTGAATACAGCAACTCACTGTTTTCAGCATCTCTGATCCTCAGTCATATAAAATCAAATCAGTGGAATGTGAAAGCTAAAGAGCTGACAGTCACCTGCAGTCCCAATCATTTGGTCCTTTAGGATTTTACTTAGGAAACATCTTGGCTACTTGAATGCTTCTGTGGCTTTGCTTTTCTCCTTTTTTGTAGAAATATTTTCTGTAGTGGGTTTTCATCCTTTAGTTTACTACTACTTTTACCTTCATTTTCCTCTCACTTGTTTCTAAATGTATTTTCTTTTATTCCCATCTGACTACTTTCTTCTCAAATTAGCAAATGTGGAATACTATGGGAAAGAACTTCAGAGGAGAGAAAATGAGCTATGCAGAATGGTGGTTGATTCATTTAAGAGCAAGGCATCCATACAGTTTAGCCTGCTTGACTTGCTGCTCTAATTTCTGTCTGCAGTTTTTAACTGAAAGGGTATCTAAGAAAAAAAACTTTTGTCAAATATCCCCATGTAAGAATACTTGTGTGGATAGACATGAAAAAATGTCTCCATGGTTTTATCAGATTATCCCCTACTAAAGAGATCTGATGAATTAGCTAGAAGCCCAGTGTGTGAGTATATCTATTTAGATACCCTGTTGACAAGGACCAGAGGAGATGCTGCCAAAGTCTACCTCTTTTCTCAGTTTTATGTCTAACTTCAAAAGAAGAATTTCTAAAACTGGAAACCAAGAGAGTCTATTTTCTCAATTTCATTTAATTCTAGATTTGCATCTTGCTGACATAATGACAGAGTGGCTTCTACACAACAATTAAAGCTGTTGCTTTACCTCATCTGTATAAAAATGTGGTCCTTCTTTCATATGTGTTATTTCATGTAACACATGATGATATTGGTGTCCCACCAAAGACAGATTTTCATGCCTTTTGGATCTTCTACCAGCAGAAAGCAATACCAGAATGCTGCCAAACACCAAAATATTGCCACCTCTGACACCCCATGAAATCAAGAAGAGGAAGAACTTGTCTCAGACTCCAACATCTCTCCTTGGTAACCAGTTTTTAAAGCTGGATGTTAGGCCATCCTGGCATTCAGACACTGCAGTCTTAAGTACTGCCATTGATACATTAATAATAGTGTAAGAGTGTCTGTAGTGGAGTCAAACAGTAGCAGTTTGAGTTAAGAAGCCTTGAGTGTCATAGCAAATACTGGATTTTTGTATGATGAATAATGCTAGGTATATTATGACCAGCTTCTCCCATTTTTTCTCGTTTGACTGCATGTAAGATGTCACCTTCAAAAGACTGAGGAGTAATAAATACATGGTCGTACTTCAAAGAGAAAACCATAGCTGAAGTCTGGTTTTCAAATTTAGAAATATTGTTCGTTATGCCTTCATCCATCTTTAAAATATTAATGCTTAGTTACAGTTTAGGACATGAACAAAGCTTGATGCAGAGGAATATGAGCTATGAGCAATTGCAAAGTAGTCCGTTCTTTCCCT